TTGTAGTGTAGCATATTAATTTCAATACTTTTTTGTCAATCTTTAACTATGCCGATATTATTGCTTTGTTGGAACATCCGTTTTTAGAAGAAAAAAAAAAGGCTCAAAATTTTTAAATTGCTCACAGTATTGAATTGTTTCCTCCTGGATTTGTGCAAACCTAAACGTGCTGAATGTGAAACGCGATCTGAATAAGTGATATAAGTGATATCTCGTAGGTAACCATCGGTGATGATACTTTTTATCAAACAAAAATTGCGCACTTCAATGCAATGGCTCTCCATCACATCCAAATCGAATATTTGTTGAAGAAATCCAGCGGAAGAATGTTCTATCCGAAACCTAAGCCACAAGCTGTTCACATTAAAAATCCAATTAGTTCTTTATTTTTTATTAGTTTTTAATTTAGACAGAATGTAAAGAAATTGTTCCGAGTAAATCATAAGAATTAATCTAAATTTCAATCTAGTTTGAACAGTGTTAGTGAGTCCTGATCATTTTCAAGTGAGAAACGTGCAATAAATATTCCATTTTTGAGCTGATATTTTCTTTTCCAATTTTTGTTTTGCACCAACTTTTATGTATGAAAATAAGAATTTGGTCCACTCTAGATTACGCGGTAGAAACAATGAAATGACCGGAGTATTCAAGGATTGAAAACCAATCGAGACTTCTACTGAAGCCCGTGTGAAAAAAAAATGACTGACTGACTATGACTTTAGTTGATTGAATTGATGGTTTTTGTTCTAAGAAAATCACTTTGTCCCAAATGAAGCAACTTAGATTGACTTGTTACTTCAAATGATTTCAGTTAACTATGATAGACTTACACTACATTTTGTACTGAAATGTCAATCAAAGTAAGTCATTTTTGTCCGAAATTAGTTAACTGACTGCTTAGTTACTAAAAATAGTAACACGGGAGTTTTCTGAGTTCATCATTTATTTCATGTGTACGCTTATGGACTATTAAAGTATTCTTATCACATTTGATACATTCAAATTCTTATCTCATTTGCGAGTTCGGCTGCCAGTTCATTTGTTCAATTGAACTAAGCTGAAGGAGGAATCAATATGAAATATACTTGTGTATCAATATTTGAGTGCATCAGCGTTTGTTGATTGCTGGTCACACGAGTTTATAGTGATGGGATCTATACTCTCCTTGTCAGACTGATTTAAATGTGTGGATTCATTTACGTTGCCGTATGGATTCAGAGCGGGTCCCGAATAAATACTTCCTCCAAAGCCCGGTGAATCACAGAACGGTGGTGCGAACCCTTTATCACAATGACACTTTCAAAACTTCATGTTCATTGCAGTCATATTTTTCATATAACACTGCTCAGAAAACGAAATTTATTTCGATTTTTTTTTTATCGATTTGAAATTCAAATTTTAAATTAATTTTTGGGTCAAAAGAATGACTGAACTTCTCATCACTAAAGGAGCCAATCTTAATATCAGCAACATGAACAAAACAATCGAAAAAATATAACAGAAAAGCAATATGCGAAAGAACGTAACACGAAAAAGTAGATTCTTAAAAACGCAACATGAATTTACGCCACACTGGAGCTCGCCATAAGAATGCTGTTGCAACCGCAGCCCATGTTACATTCATTCCGGCTGGAGGTTCATGTTGAGTTTTTACGAAATAATTTTTATGTTCGGTTCTTGATATAACAGATCAGATGAAAAACCTCTAGACGAGGTTAAAATGGAGTGACGCTCCTGTCCGTGGATTTAGCACTCAAAATAACTGAGTATAAATAGCATTCATTGTGTTCGACTATCATCAGCTTTTTTCTAAAAATTTGATGGGAAATGAAAATGCGTCGTCGAATCAGCAATATAGATCGATATAGATAATCGCCCACCTGTGCCACTTGATAACACTTAAACTACAACAGATAAACAGCTAATCAAATCAAATCAAATCAATCATATAGTGATAGATGTCACAAAATCAAATGAACGTTTGATTTTCTAGTTCACAATGATATGTGGTGATGCTCCCGTACTGATCACTGTCAATCATGACGATTTCCGACCGAAGAACAGTTTTTTTTTTCACCGTAATCTGAAGATGTATTTGAAACTTTTATCAAATTTTAGCGCACAATGAGACATAAAATCACGTGATTATTTACGTGATTGTTGAATTGTTTGTTTGTCATAATATAAATTGGCCAGACATTATGGACTCTGAATTATTCTATTCATTGCAAGTCAAGTAGACATTTCACACTCCGATTCTATCTGTTCGCACACTCCGAACATTTCGCACATTGGACACTACTGTTTTCAAATTTGGCGATAACTTGAGCTACCCTAGCAATAATGGTACTGATTTTTTTTTTTACGTTGCTGTTTTGTTTTTGGGTAAGTATTTTGAGTTGGATTTTAAACGGAGTTTTAGGAGACGGAACAACATACGTTTGAATTTACAGCCAACAATTACCAACCACCGACAATTCATTTTGAATCGTTTAAATAGAATTTCTACATAAATCCTTTAAAGCACTAACAAACGCCAGTGCGACAATGTTTGCATATTTTAATATTGAATGTCATCGAAAAGTCAGTTTACACTGCCTCTTGGCGAGTGGAACGTGTATGCCTATACATTCAATAAACTGCTTCCCCTCCACATTTTCCCCTACCATTTTTTCAACAAACAAACTATATGAAAGTTGTATGGACTCGCTAGGTGCCGCCACAAGTACTACTTTTTTTTAATCATTGTCTCACTGCAAACGCAACAGCTGCCAATTCAAATGGATCGGTTTCGATGCCAGTGCGCAATGGAACAATTCCACGTGTTAATTTAGATGTGACGTTTGAATTGTACACTTTGAAGAATAAAGACACAGCGCAAATTCTTTCGATAGATAACATTACGTCGATCACCAAATTGAACTTCAATAAAAATGTGCCCATACGCTTCGTAATTCACGGATTTCTCGAATATAATGGAAAATTGAAACGAATCATCAATGATGGTAAGTGTAAATAAATTTCAAAATCAAAATGGATATCTAGCGATTAGATTTAGATCATAACAAGTTGATTTTTATGTAAATTATTTACATTTTATTTCTAAACAATGTATTCAGTAAATGCCTTCTATAAGTGAATTCAATTATTTTAATTATCACTTTTGACATTTTCTATCCGCAGCTTATCTATCGAAAGCTAAAGTAAACGCAAATTTGATTGTTGTCAACTGGGAAAAATTGTCACAATCAATTAATTATATTGTAGTTAGTAACCGGGTAAAATCGATTGGTGTCCAAGTTGCTGCTATGATTGATTACATGGTGAACAATCATCTCGTTTTCATCAATCACATCACTTTAATTGGATTCTCGTTGGGTGCTCATGTTGCCGGAATTGGTAAGAGTTCGCACTGCTTTGGCTTAATATGGTTTACTTCCACATTTATCACTTTCCGATTTATCGAGAACTTATGCCAAAAAATGTTCACTATATTTAGCTGGAAAGCATGTGAAATCCGGAAAATTGTCAAAAATAATCGGTTTAGATCCGGCCGGTCCACTGTTCTCCGTGGATAAACCTCATGAGCGATTGGATAGTGAGGATGCAAAGTGAGTGTTATTTATTAAACTTATTAGAAATAAAATATCCATTGAGATTAAAAATCGCGAACATTCCTCTCCAAAAATTAGATATGTCGAAGTCATTCACACCAACGGCGCATTCTTAGGAATGCACTATCCAATTGGAACGGTTGATTTCTATCCAAATAACGGATTGAAACAACCCAGCTGCTCGTGGGATTTAACTGGCAAATGCTCGCACTGGTGTGCATTCAAATATTTCGCTGAAAGTATCTACTCACCTACCAAATTCTACGGATATCCATGCGCCTCATTCGATTATATGAAAAAAGGAAATTGCAAAGGTGCCTAATTGCGAATGGGTGGCGAGCCGGGCAATTACAAGGCGTAAGTTATACAAAGATATTTTTGCATTTCAACAAAGTGGATTGCATTCTCTTCCTTTTTTCCGAATAGCGAAGCCAGCATTTACTACTTGACTACAAATTCGAAGTCGGTTTTTGGCCGCCGTCAACCAAACTAAACAGGTGAATGCTCTTGATCATTCCAAGAAATGCACGATGAATAGTCTTTTTAAGAAAACTTGACTTCAGTGTATAATCAAAAGTTTTATCATCGGAACACACACACTTACCATCAAACATGAAATAGGTGCCAAATATCTGTGCATAATAAGTTTTGATTCATTTTAAACCAAAGTTGTTGTATACGATTATTGTAATAATTCCAACATTCATGGTCCGTGTCAACTCAATGCACTCTGCAATCAACATGGATCTGCCTTTACAGACGTAAAACTTCTCGTCAATTTATCTACCGGTATAAATTGAGCGACGACTTTTGCTGTCCTAAAGTCTCAAATTAACGCGTAATCAAGCGCTTCACATAGCCTTTGTCCCTTGGAAGCGTTTACCAAAGGTTATCTTGGACCGTTTGCCATAGACTAATATCAGGCATTTCCATCTTGGTTGCATGACTGTTTTCGTTTTCATGTTCCTACTATTGTGATTACCGCATAATTTACGAAAAGAGCATGGTTTTTAACGAGGCGAGAACTGATAGTTATCGAAACCTATTGCTACAAATTGTTTATTATTTTAAATATGTAACAGTCTTGCACTCTTTTCCTGCTAAACCTCAATCAAAACCCACATTATATTCAGCCAGAGCTTGGCGGTGTTTAATAAAATAAATAAAAAAATAAATAAATAAATTTTACGCCAAATTGAAGTCGGATTTAAATTTTGTACTCTAAAAATTTGTACAATTTTTCAAAAAAAGAATGTTGTTGAATTTTTATCATCGTTTGTTCTCAATCGCGTCTTCAACCCTTTTTTTATTTGTTTCGTCATGTCCCCTTCCTCTTTGCTTATCTGCAGATAAGCATTAATGACATGGTCATGACCATGGATTTCAATTGTTTTGTCATTATTTTTGAACGCTTTGAAATTCGTGGCGTGTTCGTTGATAAATAGCAAATCATCTTCAAAAGACAAGTATTATTTTTATACAAACATAGTTTGTTGAGGAAAAGTATTAGTTTTACTAGTATTCATTCGCTGGATATCTCAAAAAGTTAACAAATTGGAAATATTGTGAAATTTGTGATAGATTTCATTAACGAAAATAAACGAATTTGATGTGCTCAATCGTTTTGTGCTTAAACCGTCGTAATACTCAATGAAGCAGTGGACTTGTCGGCACACTCGTCGATTTAGCATTCCACTTGCTTTGGCGATTTGTGAGTTGCCGAAGCATCATATATGCAGTGCACTAGATATTTAACGTGAAAACCTATATTCCGTACATCGAAGTTGGCCGAGGTATGATTTCGTTTGCGCGTAGCGCGTAAGCTATTCACTTGCGATATATAGTATATAGGGATTCAAGCAAGTGAATTGCTTACGCGACGCGCAAACGAAATCATACCTCGGCCGACTTCGATGTACCGAATATAGGATTTCACGTTAAATATCTAGTGCACTGCATATATGATGCTTCGGCAACTCACGAATCGCCAAAGCAAGTGAAATGCTAAATCCACGAGTGTGCCGACAAGTCCGCTGCTTCATTGAGTATGCATTAAAAAGATCTTTTGTTTAGGCATTTGCTTCATTCAGAGAAATAATATTCATTAGAAGATGTGGTATTGCGAGCGGGTTTGAACATTTGTTGTTTTCCAATAGTCCACGAGTCGATTTCAGAGAGCCACGAGTCGATAGAGTGAAAAATTCTGAATTGATAGTTTTTCGTGCTTAAACCATTCCAATGCGCGTAGAAAACATCTTTTGCAAACAAAGCATTGTAACTAATCGACACTGTCGTCGGCATTCCATTCCGAATGAGCGGGAAATTCCATATTTCTTGTTCGCCTGGAAACAATTTAGTGATATAGTAAAAATATTTTTCCTCTGAATGAAGGAATGATCAAACAAAAGATGTTTTCTACGCGCATTGGAAAAAACCACAGCTATTCTTTCGGTCGTTTGCTTTGTAAGTGCAAATTTTGAACGAATTTTCGTTGATATTCTCGTTTTGGTCGTGAAGATACATGTTGTCGTTAGATCAATTTCTGTTCGTTTCCATTTTCATGTGAAATTTCATTGTTTCCAATCGCCCTTCTAAAAGTGTCGTTCTTGATATCAATCCACCAACTTATCAAAAGGGAATATGAGGTTCAACTACATTCGTCCCCTACTAAAATCTGAAATCCATGTGTAGAATCGTTCATTTTTTTTGTTACTACCGTGTAATGAGGGTGATGAAGGAATGAGCCTAAACATCTGGTATTTTCGATGCGATCCATTTGATGTGAAAGGCAAAATTATACACACGTGTACAGGTGGATTTGTAATTCCATCAATTGTTTGAACAATTTTCTTTAAAATATGTTTGCGATAATATTGCGTAAGCTTTTAATGAAATTGTAATTATACGTGGATTGAATTCTACGTTACTGTAGAACCGCACTTGAAAAGTATATAAGAAGATGCGTTCGATTCGTCTATCCATCAAACAGTTCGTCAATTCTCTTCAAAATTATCCGTTCATAGTAAACTATTATTAGTTCGAAGCTAAAAAATATGCTGAGTCGAAGATCTTCCACACTGCTGCTCATTGGTTTGGCGGTATCCGAGGTGAGTCGGCAGTTTCAGTCATTTTTTTCACTTGCAAATTTTGAATCCAATTTTTCAGTCGACGAATTTCGTTGGAAAAATCTTCCATTCCAAGAACGATGTGACATCGTCGATGTCCATCGGGTACTTTTTTTTTCGAATGAAAAACAGTCGAAAACAATTCCTATTCCATCCATTTTTCCCATTCCAATTGTATCACTTTGTTCTATTTCCACAGTTCTTAATCGGGGATGTGAGTGGAGCACCATCTGGAAGGGACGGTAAGACTGAAGCTCCATTTCTTTATCCAGTTTTCACTCTCATTATACGAAGTACCTTTTGATGTATGGAGTATATGAAATAAATAGACATTTACTTCAATCCAATACGGTGATGCCGTACATCAGATTTCACTGATGTTACACATACGCAACGAATGTATAATATTATTGCCTCATATATTATACAGGATGCTATAGAATATATTCTATGCATATACGGACTTCTAGCATTTATGTTTTTACTGCTTAATATAAGCCCATTCTCTCAGTTTTTGACATTTCTCCAATTAATTCTATTTTTCTATGGAACCGAAGAGAGTCTCTGAGTAGCGAAACATTCATTTCCCCATCATTTTCGACAAGAGTTCATCTCACGGACAAATAACTTGTCTTATGTTTCTTAGAAAATGCATTTTCGTTCGAATCACTTCACTGATCTATATTTTTTTAACCCATAGTACACGCAAAAGACGAATATGGAAATACAGCTCTGCATAGAGCTGCTCAGAATGGTAATCTTGGACATTTATGTTTTAGAAGAATGTTTTGTTCAATCCGTTTTATTAATCTAAATTATTTTTTAGGTGATGTGAAGGAAGCACAAAAGCTCATCGCTGAAGGAGCCATTTTAGATAGTAAAAATAATTTTGGAAGTACACCTCTTCATTCAGCTGCTTTCGAGGGTAATTTTGAATACTTATTTTCGCTATTCCCGAGTGAACGCGACACGCTTTGATGAAAGCCTACTGTCGTTCGATGAGGCTTTCATAATTTTTATATACATTTTAAATACTGAACGCCTAGGCTTTCATTGCTATTCTCACTTCTTTCGTGCATTCGTAGCATTGAAAGCCTAGCGTGAAACATACTTCGTAGCGTGAAACATACACACGTACAACTGAACGCCTAGGCTTTCAATGCTACGAATGCACGAAAGAAGTGAGAATAGCAATGAAAGCCTAGGCGTTCAGTATTTAAAATGTATATAAAAATTATGAAAGCCTCATCGAACGACTGTAGGCTTTCATCAAAGCGTATCGCGTTCACCCGGGTTGTTATCATGATTGAAAATACATTGTAATAAGCTACGAGACCGTGTGTTGTCTGAATTTTCTGTTCGAATTAATTCTTCGTTGCTTGTGTAAAAAGAATAGATTGATCTTTTTCATCGACTTGAATCATTTTTCAGGGCACAAAGATGTTGTTAAATTTCTCATCGGCAAAGGGGCCAATATTGATAGTAAAAATAATTTCGGAAGTACACCTCTTCATTTAGCTGCTGAGAATGGTAATTTTGAATACTTATTTTCGCTATTGTTATCATGATTGAAAATACCCCTACAAGAATTTTGCGATACATTGAGGTTTACGTCGACATGTCGCCGTAAAGCAGAACCTTCCCGCCACATTCCGCATTGCGATAGGTTTTTACTTTTCCGTACACACCGTGTCAAGGGAAAGTATAGGAATTGGTCCCGAAAACTTTTTTCGCAAAATTGGTTTAGATCATCATAAAAACTTATGAAACGCTGCCTTTATTTCAAGAAAATTCACAAAAAATGACCAAAAGTACCCTTCAGACAACGCAGGCCAACGTTACGGAAAAGTTCGGGATTATCAATGTAATTCTTTTTATTCAATGTACGGGTTTACGCAAAATTATTACGCCGACATATCTGCGACATATCGCAATGCGTAAACCTGTAAATTCGAATCGTATCCAACTTCATTACATTGAAAACATAATTTCAAATGGTTTTATTTAAACTTTTCATGTTGCTCATCGTTGCTAATAAGAAATAAAAACTTATTCAAAATAATTATTAAGTAGAATAATCAGCCATTGCAGCCTTTAAAAATACAACATGCTGAATTCGAATGAAGTTGATTGCGGAATTTTGGCGATACGTTTGCGTAAACGTTGTCGCAAAATTTTCGTAGGGTACATTGTAATAAGCTATGAGACCGTGTGTTGTCTGAATTTTCTGTTTGAATTAATTCTTCGTTGTTTGTGTAAAAAGAAAAGATTGATCTTTTTCATCGACTTGAATCATTTTTCAGGGCACAAAGATTTTGTTAAACTTCTCATCGGCAAAGGGGCCAAACTTGATAGTAAAAATATTTCTGGAAGTACACCTCTTCATTATGCTGCTGGAAATGGTAATTTTGAATACGTG